TCTCCCCCTCTGACTTACTCCCCTTCATTCTTCCCCTCCTGCTATCTTCTTCTTCTTTTTTTTTTTTCTTAACATATATTGCATTAGTAGCATGTTGTTTAGCCTCCACGTGTTTGTGTGCTTTCCAGTTTTTCTCTTAAAATCAGTATCTAGTTTCACACTGTTGTGGTCAGAAAAGATGCTTGATAACGATTTCAGTCCTCTTAAATTTAGAGACTTGTTTTGTGGCCAATGTGATCTGTCCTGGAGAGTGTTCCGTGCGCACTTGAAAAAAATATGTATTCTGCTGTTTTGAGGTGGTATGCTCTGTGTTTTATCTATTAAGTCCATCTGGTCTAGTGTGTCATTTAAGACCACTGTTTCCTTATTGATTTTCTGTCTGGATGATCTATCCATTGATGTAAGTGAGGTGTTACAGGCCCCTACTATTATACAGTTGAGCCTTGAACGATACAGGTTTGAACTGGACAGGTCTACTTATACATGTATTTTTTTTTCAATATATATTAGAAAGGTTTTATTTTGTAAATACAACTTTTTTCACGTTATCTTTTCATTTTTGTTGTAACACATGTAATAGTGTTTGGTATAAAACAATACTGATGTGTAGGTACTGACAGATGATTCTTGTGAACAGACAACATTCACTTACAGTATTGATAAGTACAGTACAGAAATGTATTTCTCCTATGATTTTTTTAACATTTTCTTCTAGTTTATTGAAAGGATACAGTATATAATATATATAACTACAAAATATGTGTTAAACAACTGTTTACATTATCAGGCTTCTGGTCTAGAGTAGGCTGTTAGTACTTAAGTTTTGGGGGAGTCAAAAGTTCTATGTGGTTTTTGACTGCACAGCAGATCAGCACCCCTAACTTCCATGTTGTTAAAGGGCCAAATGTATTACTGTTAATTACTCCCTTTATGTTACTCTTTGCTTTACGTATTTAGGCCCTCCTATATTGGGTGCATAGATGGAATTGTTCCACCCTCTTGCTGGATTGATCCTTTTATCATTATGTAGTGCCCTTTGTCTTGTTACAGTCTTTGTCTTAAAAATCTATTTCGTTTGATATAATTACTGGTACCCCAGCTTTCTTTCCATTTCCGTTTACATAGAATGGCTTTTTTTATCCCTTTACTTTCAGTGTGTGTGTGTGTGTCTTTATATCTGAAATGAGTCTCTTGTAAGGCAGCATTTTGGGGTCTTTTTTTCTTTTTTTTTAATCAGTTCAGCCACCCTATGTCTTTTGAATGGAGCATTTAATTCATTTACATTTAAAGTAATTGTTAGGTATGTACTTATTGCTATTTTGTTCATTGTTTTCTGGTTGTTTTTGTAGTTCTCTGTTCCTTTCTTCTCTTGCTTTCTTGTGGTTTGATGACTTTTAGTGTTATGTTTGGATTTCTTTTTCTTTATTTTGCATGTGTCTATTATAGGTCTTTGGTTTATGGTTACTATGAGGTTCTTAATATAATACCCTATGTATATGGCAGCCTATTTTAAGTTGATGGTTAAGTTCAAACACATTCTAAAAGCACTACATTTTTCCTCCCCTTCCCATTATGTTTTTGATGTCATATTTTAAATCTTTTTATTTTGTGTATTCCTTAACTAATTTTTGTAGCTATAGTTGATTTTACTACTTCTGTCTTTTAACCTTCATACTACCTTTACTGTATATCTGCTTTTATCAGAGATATTTTTCTTTCATAATTTTCTTACTTCTGGTTGTGGTCTTTTCTTTCTTACAAAAGTCCCTATAAGGCACCTGGGTGGCTCAGTTGTTAAGCATCTGCCTTCGGCTCAGGTCTTGATCCCAGGGTCCTGGGATCGAGCCCCGTATCGGGCTCCCTGCTCAGTGGAGAGCCTGCTTCTCCCTCTCCCTCTGCTTGTGCTCTTTCTCTCTGTCAAATAAATAAATAAAATCTTTAAAAAAAAAAAAAAAAAGGCCCTGTCACATTTCTTGTAAGGCTGGTTTAGTGGTGAGGAATTCCTTTAGCTTTTCTTTCTGGGAAGCTCTCTCTCTCTGTCCTTCAATTCTAAATGATAATCTTGCCAGGTAGTAGTCATGGTTGTAGGTTTTTTCCTTTCAGCACTTTGAATATATCATGCCATTCTCTTCTGGCCTGCAAGATTTCTGTGGAAAAATCAGCGAATAGTCTTACAGGGTTTCCCTTGTACATAACTAGTTGCTTTCCTTTTGCTGCTTTTAAGATTCTCTTTATCTTTTTCTTTTTGCTATTCATCTTGGGTGATTTCCACTACCGTCTTCCAGATGACGATCCATTCTTAATTCTTCTGTGTCCTCTAGTTTGCTGCTGATTCCTTCTCCTGTATTTTTTATTTCAGTTACCGTATTCTTCAGCTCTGATTGGTTCTTTTTCATATTTTCTCTTTGTTGTAGTTCTGTGTTCATCCACTCTTCTCCCAAGTTTGGCAAGCATCTTTATGACTGTTATTTTGAACTCCTTATCAGGTAGATTGCGTATCTCCATTTTGTTAAGGTGTTTTTTTTTTTTTTTTTTTTTTGAGGTTTTGTCTTATTCTTCTGTTTGGAACATATTCATCTGTCTCTTCATTTTGCCTCTCTGTATTTGTTTCTATGTATTAAGCAGATCAGCTACATTTCCCAGTCTTGAAGGAGTGACCTTATGTAGGTGTCCTGTGGGGCCCAGAAACGCAGCCTCTCCTGGTCATTAGAACCAAGTGTTCCAGGGGTGTTCCCTCTGTGGATTGCATGCGCTGTTTTGTTGTGCTTGGCCATTAGTGCTGCAGGCATGCTGGTGGGGGCCAGCCAGGTCCACCCACCGCAGCAGTTCAGGAGCCACTTTGGGGGAGTACTGGTCCCTGCTAGGCCCCAGGTGTGGTGCACAGGAACCGCTTGGAGGGGTGCCTGCCAGGACAGGCAGGGTAGGTCTGCAGGGGAACATCTGGGTGGATTGAGCAGTGCTAGCAAGGTAGATGGAGTGTCAGAAATGGCACCCACCAGTGCTTCCTTTGGCCAAGAAAGTTCCCACAGATCCACATACCTCTGGCACATACCCTAAGATTAGTCAATAAATCTCCTTCGTGTATGGCCCAAGCACTTTTCAAACTGCCACCTCTGAGCTGGATGTCAGAGTGAGTTTGTGTGCCCGCCCTTGAAGAGCAGAATCTCTGTTTCCTATAGCCCTCCTGCTCTCCCCGCTGATTTTTAAAAGTAGATTATGGGGACGGGGCTCATCTTCCCATTGCAGGTCTGCAGGGCCGGGGTGCCCCATGTGGGGCCTGAACCTTAGGGAGGACCTCGGCATTTGTGGTATCCGCCCTGTTTGTGGAGTGCCACACCAGGCATGTGGGTCCTGACTAGACCACATTTCTGCCTCTCCTACCCATCTCAGTGTGGCTTTTTCTTTAGATCTTCAGTTGTGGAAGAGCTGTTCTGCCAGTCTTCAGGTGGTCGTCAGCAAGGGTGGTTCTACATGTAGATGTAGTTTTGGTGTGTCCATGGGGGAGACAAGTTTAGGCTCTTCTTACTCTGCCATTGTGATCATGTCCCCCTAACATGTATTTACTCATAGAATTAGAAACAGTGTTTTAACAGTTTTAAGTCAATTTAAGAAAAACATATCAGGGAAAGAGGTCAAAGAAACTCTTCAGACTTGCTTTTGGCAGCTCTCCGAGTATAATCTGCATTACAGATTGTTCTGTTCTCCATTTCCTATGCTGCTGACACTCCATTAATAAGTTTGTGGAAGGCAGGGAAAGTTCTTATCTGCTTTTGTGGTCCTCTCCCTCAGTGCCTTACCTCTTTTCTGGCTGAATAAATAGTTGCAAAATTGACTGGAGGCATACATATTCAGTATTTTTCTAAGAGCAACGACAGGTTTTCCATAAGCAGCCAGGGCTGTGCAGTGTAGCCAGACGGGTGCCCTGCAGGGGACTCCTGGGAGGGCCCACCAAAGACCTCTCTTGGCCACAGTCACTGTGGGTATTCGGACAGCTGAGCTGAAGGGGCACTGTTGCAGCCATGATAAGTATCTGTGGTTTGTTTCCATCCAGACTGGGGAAAACTTCGAGCTCTACTGAGATTCCAGGCATCTTCCCCTTCCTTTGTTTTGCTGTATGTGCTAATTTTTGACAAGCTCTCTTTTTCTGGGAGGAATGGCTCCTGGCTGGCCTGTTTTCAGCCAGAATGTTCACAAGGAACATTCAGTGCTCGGTACTGACTGCAGGCAGAGATGAAGGAGGCGCCACAGGAGACTAACAGAGGAACCCAACACCCCCCTACCCTTCCAGCTTACACTAGAAAAACAAGAGGAATGAGGAAAACTACCCTAGGAAATGCCTTCTTTAAAAATGTATTCCTTTTCCCCCTACTTTGGTAAGTTTGGGAATTTGTTATTGCTATTTTTTTTTTTTAAGTAGAAAAATACTCCATTAACTTAATTATTCCAGCCAGATTTGGGCCTAGCTCCACCAGTAGGGAATAAACGTGGCATGGCAGAGGCCCCTGTGGATTATGATTTATGTTTTTAGTTATTTTCCATTTTGTAGCTTCATTACGGGGCCACTTTCTTGCCCCCCGAACGTCCTGATTCCCAGCAGGTGGACTGTGTTTGGACGTCAATGGCAGGGCAGCGGCTACCGCGCCACCCGCTCCTTCAGCAGAGGAGCACCTCAATTAATTTATTCGGTGAACAGGAGACAGAGCTGCCCCTGGCTGTCCGGCTCGTGGCAGCAGGGGCTGTGAGTCGTCGTCATCTGGCACCTCCGCCAGCCCCTCTGCCGTGGGGTTTGAGTCAGCGAGCGGGAAGGTGCCCGGTGTGTCTACACACTAGAGCGGCTTCGTCCCAGGTGCTTCAGGAGACGGGCACCCCATGGGCTAGAGCCACACAGCTGGGACCTCACCGGATCTGCTGTCCCCCGCCCCAGCTCTACTTGTCCTGGCCCGGGCAAGCGGAGCAAGTATTCACTTCTCCGTCTCTCTCCCCCCTTCCCCTGGCCTGAGGTGTTTGAGGAATTGTGGCAGAGTAAAGGGAAGACTCCATCGCAGATTGTTTCAGAAAAGAAGCTTGAACTGATGCAGGATCAAGAGGCGCTGGAACGGGTCTGCCACACCGTGATGGAGGGGCATCCTCAAGTGGTAATTATCACCTGCAGGGAGAAGAGGGGCCTCATGTGCAGCCGGGGCAAGGGTCCACCCTCCTGGCCAGCACAGGGCTGGCACCGGCCTGAGGACTCAGCCAAGAGCCTCTCCACTGCTCCCCCTCGCAGCCCAGAGGCACCTCCTAATAAGGAAGTCCCTAATAAATTGTGTCCACTTTTAGCTAAGGTCAAGAGCTGAAATTAGGTGAATATTAGAAGAATACAGCTTTTCCTACAAGGAATATCCACCCCTGGGGTTTAATCTCATGGAGTTGGGTTTTCAGGGGTGTTGATCAAGCTCACTAGATCCAAGTTGTGACCTCCCAGCATGATGCACTTTGAATCTGTTACCGCTAGCTCTGCTTTATAAGGAGACCTCTCACTAATAAACCAGCAGGCATGACTGCAGAAAGGGAAGAAAGATACGCAGACACTTTAGCTCCCTGCCTTTAAGAGGCGGGAAGAAAGGCAGAAAGGGAAATTATTTGTAAATTGTGGAGAAAATCCTTGACAGGAGCATAGCTGAAAACCAAGTCATTTTGTGTTCTGAGCATAGAACAAAATAGAAAAGCTAAAATGAGTACCATCCCTCCCTCCCCAAGTCCAATCATACCGTCTAGAGATTTTTTAGTGGGTAAAAAATTGCTAGCATCTCTTTCAGAATAATACCCTTCCACCCATCGGCTTGCCGGAGACACTAACAGCTCTGAAAAGAGCTCTCGATAAGGAAAATGAGCTTGCGCTGGATCTCGGCAATCTCCATCTCCCTGCCCCATCTGTAGTGACTGATAAAGACACACTTTCCATTTTGGACTCGTTCTGCGGCACCGAGTGCAGATACCCACAGATGTCATTACCCATCAAGATGCTGCAGAGCGGGAGGTCGGGGTGGGTGGCCCTGACAGTCCGTGGCTATTTGACAGGAATCCAGAGGCTCTTGCTTTTGTTGTCCCCATCTTGCGCACCACAGCGCACTCCCCAACTCAAAATGCTCCCAGAGAGTTGCCATTTTGTGGATTTGTTTTCTGATAAACACGTCTTCTTGGCAGGGAGTTGAGGGGAGAAGGAAAGCCATGCATTTCAGTGCCTGCTGACCACCACTGGAAGATTAGAGAAGGACCTCACTCTGACTAGACTAGATCCTTCATCTTAGGTTACTCACCCCCGAGCCCGAGAAGCTCCGCGTGCTCATGTCACTGCGGCGCCCAGGCAAGCGCCCTCGTCCCTGTGCACCAGCTCTCGCCGGAGGCAGGACTCACGATGCGTCACAGCCAGCATCCGGGAGCCCAGAGACCTCCTCAGAAGCTCACCCCCTCCTTCTTCCTTTTCTCATTTTGTATCAAATGCTAACAGAAAAGAAACTTAATTTGTGTCAGTAAACATAAACCTTAACTTAGCATTTTTAAGTACGCGTGTCATTGTTTTCTCCTCTAAAACAGTTTCTATCTTTAAAGGTAATGGACATGAAGAGGGGAAACCCCAGAGCTATAAACAAACTGATCGGGTTGGTCCGAAAAGCAACTCTCAGTCGAGCAGACCCGACTGTGATAAAGGAGATCCTGGAGAGGAAGCTGTCATCATGAGCCCTTCTGGGTCCCCCGTGCCCGAGGGAGAGCAGAGCGGCCTCCACTGAGAACCGGAGCCCGTGACACGTGCCATCCGGGGGCTCCCAGGCCCTGGCCCCGGCTACAGCCCCGGGATGCCACCTGCACAGACCAGCCCCGACAGCCCGGCTGCCTCACTGACTTCGAGATGGTTCCAGCTGCAGTGGTGGGGAAGAAATAGCACAGTTCCAGTGCTCAGTGATTCGGGACTGAGACCCTGTTTCAAATGCTGTCACCGTTCTGAGAAAACTTTTCATCCATTGGGATGCAGTACTTTAAACCTGAAAGTAGATGAGTGGAGCTAAAAACCACCGCAGAATCGACACGTTGTAAACAGGAGGCCTCGTGTGGATGGGAAGGAGGGTGTTAGTCTTACCAGCATTCCCTCATCTGAGGACTAAAAGTGACTTTGCCCGTTCAGCTCCCTAGGGACCCAGGAAGGTAAAGGTCTGAGAATTAAATGAAACATTTTTTGTCAAACACACACACAGACGTTTTCAAATAAATTTAATGAATAAAATATATAGTGAAATATCACATAAAAAATTAACTTACACTTCAAAGATTGTGCAGTTAACAACTCCCTCCCCACCCCCACCTCCATCCCCAGGCCAAAGAAAGATAAACAAGCTGTAACATTAAATTGATTTGTTTTGCCTGGGAAGAGTAAGATGATAAAGCTAAAACATCAGAATCTTGACCTTTAACAGTAACTGTGGTGCAGTTAACAACACCCTCGTGAAGGCTGGGCTGCCTTGGCCCCCAGGCTCGGGACGGGAATGCCGTTCCTCTCTCCCGCACCCAGCGTGCACCGCGTGCTGCTGTTCCCTCCAACTCGCCATGCTTAACGACCGGTTTCAAGGCTGCTTCTGAAGAGCACATGTCAAACTGTGGCATCGGGAGAACAGACTCTCTGCAGTCTCAGATTTTACACTGAATTGCCAAGCCTACTAAGGAGCATCCGAGCATTTCCCTCACAGACGATGCTGCCGTGGCAAGCTGGGGGACTGGGGACAAGCCGGCCTTCCCCGTCGCCAGTGTAGCAGTGAACGGTGCTCAGGACTTCCCTCCCTCAGAGTGTGACGGAAGCCTCCCTCGGACCCTGCCTGGAAAGCAGGGACAGAAAGGAAACCAGGTGTGTGGTTTATTCCAGACAAGCATGAGGAGGTAAGGTTTTTTTAAAAAAAAAAAAAAAAAAACATTTTTAAAAAAATGACTTAGAATATTGTGAGAGAAGGTGTTCCCTCACCCAGGAGGCCATGTGGCCCTCACGCATTCTGCTCCAGTACTGGAAACTACTGAACCCAGAAGTAAGATATTTTTTCTTTTCGAGAGAGAAAGGCAGAGTCCATTCTCTCTCCTCGCATTGCAAGACTGAATTACAAATGGGCAAAGACAGTCTGAAACTGGATTCTAGCAGGATCGTTGTTTTGTAAGAAATAATAGGGTTCAGTTTTGTTTTACAAACTCCATTTCACCAAAGGTCTGGCTTCTGAGACATCAAACTTTACAGAAGCCACTAGGGGATCTTTCCACACCATTTCAAATCAAGGCCTTGCTTAAATGGGTGATGGGGGGGCGGGCAGACTGAGGAGGCAGCTGGATGGAGACAGTTTCCCAAAACTATTATGTCCAGTGTGAACTGTATTATGGACTGATCATTTCCAGAGAAAAATGCCATCATGAGAACACCTGACCTTTAAGTGATGGGTGTTGACCTCTGACAACTTCCCCATGGTCTTGAATGCCCACTCTTGAAATCCTGAAAACTGGACAGTTACGTTGTTATAACTGCTAACAGGAAGGGCGCAGCTCAGATACCTTCCTTGGAACCTGACTATATATTCAAAAGATATGTTTGCATAATGGTGTCCGAAGTTCACAAAGTATGGCTCTGCTCATAAACAGGCCTCAGTCAAATACAGTTTGAAATACGCCTTTGCATGAGCGAGAATTCGGTCTGGTTCTTTGTTTGCTGTTTCGGTGAAAATCTCATTAAAATGTAAGAGTCGGTGTCCTCGGTAAAGCCATTGCCATCTGTCATTGGAATCCACACATACAGGCTGGGAAGGGAATTTGCTGGAAAACTGGCTCTTCTCCAGGTCAGCATGAACCAGCTCTACCTGGTCATGCCCAAACCATGGGTTCTGTTAGTTGAAAAGGAGGTCGGTTGGTTGGTTCTGGTGGGAGGTTAGGAATGTAAGCCTCAACACTAGGCACACTGCGTGGCACAGAATAACTTTAGTGAAGGTTGATTAAATTGATAAAATTAGCAGACAGCTTTTTGTGGGGCCTTTTGGTATGAGAGGTTGGTGCTGCCAACTAGTAGGCTTTTAAATTCTGGACATCTGGGTCTAGGAAGGAGATTCCTGACTCTGTCCAGGCTTATGCATCAAGGTGAACTTCTGTTCCTATCTTTCAAAGTGTATGTGCCCCAAGAAAAAGAAGCTAATTGTAATTTATACCAAGTTTAGCATGTTTCAGCTGAGCTTACACACATACACTTTTGTAATTACTGCTTATCTGGAAGAAGGCTGTGGAATTTTTGAAAGTACACACCCTTCTAGAGCTTTGAGTTAATTCAATACACAGCTTATGGAACTGACCCACAGTTCATACCGTCTTTTTCATTTCTATTGAATGTGCTGCATCACTTCAAGGAGTCTACATAGTGACTACTGGGGGAAAAAAACACACAGTCTATCGCAAAGGCCATGTTATTTACCCAGTACCAAGAGCAGCATGGAAACGGCTGCCATGCTTCTCTGGCACATCTTAGACAAATGTATTCATGGATTATTTGTGAACACGGCTGGACCTAAAGTGAGAGATGGATAGAATCTGATTAGAAATCCTCTCTCATTGCCTCCCTTAGTCGAACAATTAAGCAAAAATCATTTAAGTAAGATCAACACCAAATTCCCTCTTAAAAATATCTCCAGGCACGGAGCCTGGGTGGCTCAGTTGGTTAAGCAACTGCTTTCGGCCCAGGTCATGATCCTGGAGTCCCGGGATCGAGTCCCACATCGGGCTCCCTGCTCGGCGGGGAGTCTGCTTCTCCCTCTGACCCTCTTCCCTCTCGTGCTATCTCTCATTCTCTATCTCTCAAATAAATAAATAAAATCTTTAAAAAAAAAAAAAATATCGCCAGGCAAAACGGGGCCTTGTTACAGGTCTTTTGCAGACTTGTCCCAATAAAAAGTCAGCAGACACACTCAGAAGCACAGACTTCTGCAGCCTCAGCTCCATGAAATTTATAATCTGGCCCAAGAGTTTCCATCGCCCTTGTCAGGTTCTGAAATGCCACAGTAAATCTCAGCTCCCCAAAAGATGCCTGAACTACACATCAAGCGCATACCAACCATGCCTACTGGGGGTCTTGTAACTTGTGTGGCTGACAGGTTGACTCACACGTCATCAGACAGAAACAAAATTCAGAATGAACCCAATGGGATGGGAAGGGTCAGTCCTAGCTAAAATCCTCATCTGTCTTAGGATCCTAAGTGCAGACACCAAGGAACTAAAGGCTTCCCCCACCGTGTCCCTGTCCTCGTCCCTGTGGAACCTCACCAAGAATCTTTCACTAATGCCCTGTTTATCCAGTTAATGAGCGGCCGGAGAATCTGTCCTCCAAAACAAGTAATGGCCCAATAAATACCTGGACGCAGAGAGGATTTACTGAGGCAAAATTATCCCGAAAACAAGTCTTAGTCTTCCAAAGAGCTCTTTCTAAAGCATTAAGTTTATGATGGTCATTTAAAGAGAGGGGAAAAAAAATCAACTCCATTTTCTTAAAATGCTTCCTCGATGATGTGATTTAAGGATGGAGTATAAACCGGTTCGACAGTGTTCTGTGTTAAGCTGTGATCTGATGGAGAAGGAGTGCTGTGTGATTTATAGAATGATGGCTGAAGCAAGAAGGGGCCTGAGAATATCTGCTTAATGACTTAGAGCTGGTGTGGCCCCAGCCACCAGAGGACCACTGCTTCCAGGAAAAGCCAACACTGCAGAGCTGGCTGCGATTCACGGCAAGCCACAAATTTACACCAGCCCGGGCCGGGGACTTGGAAGTCGCACGTGCAGTAATAGCTGTCCTGCAATAACGTCTTTCATAAAAATGGCAAGCTTGATAGCCATTTCAGTAAATACAGGACCGGTCATTCGCAATTAAACTGAACTGCCCTTAAATGAGAACTGGAGTTCATGCTGCACACATTGCCCAGCCCGCCCGCGACACGGCCCACCCCTGCCGGGCAGCACTCTCCTCATGAAAGCGACTCGGGCACACGGATCTGGATTGAAAATGTGCAGCCCTTCCACAACCCCGAAGCTCGGAACAGAGCTGGGCGGCAACCCAACACGATCATGGCAACCAAGCCCATTCAGAGACGTCACAACATCTTTCCACCCTGAGTACCGCTGGCTGCCCAAATTGAACATTTGGGCAACCCAGATATTCTCGTATCCTGTTTCTGGATTCTGTTCCTAAGAGGATGCTCTCCCGACAACACCAGGGCTCCATGATGTCTCAGTGGACTGGAAATCCAACTACATCTGACCTAAATCAAAGCCACTAGCCACAAAGGTACTCCTGAGGACCCATAAAAGACCTGAATGCATCCTCCCTACCCATGACAGAGACCTCAGTTCCAACCCACCAATACATCAAAGTATTTTTCAAGACGGTACTAGGAAAAAGGGCAGCAATTTCATGATTCCTCTAAATACCAAGGAAAGGAAGTACTGATAACAAAAATCACATCTCTTTAACTGGTTACTCCAGCATCCCCGTTTCATGGCTGGGAAATTGTAATGTGCCCCCAAGAAACTGTATTTTAGGCTAAACTCACCTGGAGTTTCTTTGATTGAAATTTTAAAAAACATTTCCTTGGTCACTTCTAAAAATCAGTTTTAAATATCCCGTTGCTCACATACACCCCATCTAGAACTTCACCTCAGACCCAGCATTATGAACTGAAATTTATGTGTGAGGGTCTAGGAACACTCCAGTTGCTTTCACTGCCCAGGACCATCAGGCTAGACACAGCGACGCCATTCTCGGGGCTTCGGCAAAAGGGGCTGCGCCCACTGTGTCTTCCAGCAAGGAGCACAGCGTCTGAGTGGGAGCCTGTCACGTGGAAAAGCGACCATACTCCGGGGGCCACATTTCAAAGCATGCCAGTATCTTGACAACTTTTTCCCAAACATGACAAAAATATTTCTAAGGGCCTCACCTATTACTTTGATTGGAATATTCTGTTTCATTACCATGATTTTTTTCCCACCAAGGAATTCCCATCATCACCCACCTGCTGTATAGTTCTTCCTATCTGCCTAGATCAAAGTTCATTCCTCTGAACCCCTCAGGGTCTGCCCTTCTCCTATTTATAGCCTCAGGACTCTGCGGTTTCTTCTCTCCTGTGTCCTCCACCTAAGCTACCCAGCTGTTTCCCTCAACCCTGTGGGGTTTTCCAGTTCTCCCTAATGTATTTCCAGGTCAAATTTCTGACTTCATTTTGAAAACCCCTGAACACAATACCCTGGAGGAGGCCTATACCGGAGTCAGAAAGATGAACCAGTTCCCAGTTCCAAATAGGGTTAGCGTGTGAGTTTGCTACCAGCATCCCACCCTGGGAGTTAATTTTCCCGCCTCCCACCCCAGATACTGGTCATCTCTGTCCTCCTTTAAGGTAAGTCTAGTTCGGTACCTACTTTAAAAAATGCTAGGAGGCACAAAAGCAATTTCTTTCCTAAAAGGGCACCTTCTACACAGGGGACTGTGGTGTTCTGTATGTAATAAAGCAATATGGACGGAAGAAGAATCAACACCAACACCAGATAATGGAGAGAAGTGTACATCACATCAAAAAGCTAAGGAAATACACTTCCCAGATAAGACTTCCGCCTTTCACGTACCTGGTAAGTCCAAACTGGAAGATAAATACTTGTGCAAAACAAAGCTAAAGGAAAATACAGCTTAAATTCCACCTTCCTGTTCCTTTTTCTCTGTCTTAAGCCGCCTTCTTTTCCAGGGGAGACCTGGGGGGTTGCCAATACAAGCAAGTGCCAGGAAGCCACGAGCAGGCCCGTCCGCAGGGCCTCGTACATTCCCCGCTGCCATAGGACAGCGGGGCAAACCATTTTTCAAGACAGAGGGATGTGAAGCCAGAAGCGGACAACAGGTCGGTATCTTTGGTTTCTTGCTTGGACTGGGAAACAGGCTGGCTGCTGAGAGCCTCCTTGCCCAGACCAGGTCTTCCAGGGGCCTCGTTCCATGGGCTGGCTCTCTCTCAATACAAAGCTGCTCCAAGATCCGTGCCAGGGCGAAAGGGCAGCAGCCTCGACTCTGCAGGGTCTCAGATGTGAGTCTGTCCCCCGCTGCCCTCCTCTACAAGGGACCTGATTAAACCCAGACCTGTACTCCGAGCGTCACACCTAGGGCCGCCCCCAGGACTCAGCAGCCCTGTCCACAGAGAAAACGAGGAGAGCTGGGACTTCCAATTTCCCTCTGAACAGGGAGGCCCACCCTTGTCACGTGCTTCTCACCTGCCCGAAATATAGGGGGTCGAATATCCACAAACATCAGCTGTTCATGGTCTCATTTTTATCACACACAGTTATTTTGTGTGTTTCCCCCTCCTGGTGGCTTAAGGAGACCGGCGTGAAGTATAATTACACCTCTTGGACCAGACGGCAAAGCAGGACAGAGGCGCTAATACAGCGTGTTGGGGCCTTCTAATGAACCCCATTCCTCAGGAGGCAGCATTTCTGTGTGCAGTGAGTCACTGGCAGGCACTGGGCTTTGCAGGGCTCCCCGTGACCTGTTTGCACTAACATCCCAGCTCCCAAAGAGGCCGTACAGTTCCGGTTTCTCTGCAAAGTGCAACATAGGAGAGAACGCAAACAGAATCTAAAATAATCGCCAATATTTTTACAGGCCGCATTTAGTTTACC